GAGGACATCAAAGAGCTCGTCCATGGTATATGCATCGCAACCGCTCAATGTTTTTGCAAACAAGCTGAACTGCGCATCTATGTCCGTGTGTGTGTGACCCACTATCATGAACCTCATTTCGACGACCTCAAATATCCGAAATTTGACAAGCATGGCCATGAAGGCGAACACATACTTGTTTTTGTTTTGTCCCCCACAGTTGTCAGCTTGCACCGCAACTTCGGCGGGAGCACCCCTTCGCGTGCCTGTACATCTCTCAACACTTTGGCAATAGGGTTAACAACCGAGTTCGAGTCGTGCGACAAGTATGGGAACCACGTGTGGACAAAGAGCGACGGTGTCCTACCATGCGCGATTATCCCAGTGAGATTAGTTTTCATCATCGTGTTATTCGACATTTCTTTTGACAAACGTTTTCTCGACACATAGGGAATCGTTGTTTTTGCTTGATCCATACCGTCGATGATGATACACAGGCGTGTTTCGGTCTATGTTACGATTCAGCGGACCACACGCTGTACTTTTTCCGGTGTGCAGACTGTAGTGCAATGTGACTTTTCTGTTTTGCGACAAGCGCCCGTCTCGACTCGGGCAGAGCACCCTCTATGAGGATGTTATTCTTAATGCACTCGTTGCATCTTGCGTGCTCGGTCACCCTTGCGAGTCAAACGTGCCAGAAGAAGTTCCTCCACATCTTGCAGAAGACCTGGTACGACGAGCAACAAACACCAAGCTTAGAGAGTCGTCTACGAATACTGAGAAAAACGTCTTTCTTCGTGGCGTACACTGACGGGAGGCGAATGCGATTTCTGATCCCGAAGTTTGGGTCTGTTTCAGTCTGATCTGGCATGGGATCAGACTCATCCAAAATTATGTCCTCGAACGCCAACCATGTGATGGCGTAGGTGGTTGTTGTCCGCGAACGCCCGTCATGGCCGTGAAAAGCGTCGACTGTTCCGTCGTCAAGGTCATCGCTGTATCTTTTGAACGTGTTCCGGCCAACGCCCAGTATAAGACACCAAGCAGTGACACACATAGGGTGCAACTGCACTATCGGTTTGACTGTCGGTTTGCGGTCAACTAACAAAATGAAGTTATGAAGTTTCGCCATCCACCATTTCCGCCTATCCAGCCCTTTGAGAACACGGTAGTCACGCCTACACTCCATCACATCCTCTACTTTCAGTTTAAAAAGACATTGATACGTCTTGGATAATGTTTTGTGGAGAACGGCCTCGCACTCGTCCACGCTACACCTACGTTCGAAAGCAGAGGTGGAAGTCGAAACACTTATTTTCCTCAGTCTGTACGTGTATTTTCTCTTTCTGTTTCCACCACACAACACAGACAAGGCAGATACAGCGGTATCCTCTCCGACCGGCAAGTCAACATCCGACAAACGAGCAACATGCCCCCCCCTCCTCCACTGCCTTCGCATGACGACGGCGGTAGCATGTCCATGGCAGCACACCGGTCGCCAGTGTCACTTGCTGGTGACGAATTCACCCGAATAGAAGGTTCAGCAGAACCGTGCGGCGGTCCCGTGCTGGCATCAGAAGGCAAGCCGACGGCATCGTAGATGATGTCGTCAAGGCGGAGACGCCGCACGACAATCATATTGGAAGATGGCACGGCCAGATGACGTGCGCGACGTCTGGGCATACCATCAGCACGGTGTGCAGGATGGCCACGTTTCGATGGTGTGATGGCAACGTCTGGAGACCGGCTCTCACATGAGGTCTCAGCAGCATGGGGCACGGGCGTACGAAGAGATTGCACAGATGGCAAAGAACTGTAGTAGCAACTGTCCATCCCGCTCGCCATTGAGTCGGTAACGCAGATGGAAATGCCCTGTAAGAGGCCATGACATAACAGAGGAATTTAAAACAGGAAGACACATGAGAAGGGATGCCGCCCCTCCCTTTCGAAAAAGTTTGATTTCAGAGACGGAATGATGGGGCGATGCCATATCAGATCAACGATCAGTGGTTGTGGAACAGCGAACGGAGGGCTGATCTCCTCTCCCCCACATTATGCGATGGGGATTTGCTGTTTTTCTCTTCTTCTTTTTTTGCTTTTTTTTTTCGTTTTGGAAAAAGTTCGATTTCGAGGAGGGAATGATGGGGCGATGCCATGTCGGATCAACGATCAGTGGTTGTGGAACAGCGAACGGAGGGCTGATCTCCT